TAGGGGTGAAAGGGTTAACCCTGTAAAGGTTTCACCTCTTTCTCTAATGGTTTGACCTCTATTAGTAGCTGTTTAACCTCTGTGAATAATAATTTGACCCCAAGAAAACGATTTTTCACATCTATAAATTATGATTTGACCTTTAGATAAAGTTTCAGGATATTTGTTATATTTGTTATGTGTGTTATGTGTGACTAGCCACCACCCAGCCGACGTGCTGATTCGAAGGATCGGCCAGGCAGTGTACGCAGTAGCTCTCATGCTGATAAGGACAAAAAGGCAGGGAAACCCTCCGGCAAAAAGAAGGTGAGATCTCCCATTCTAAACTGTACCAAGAAGAGTTGTTCATTATAAAACCTGTATATAATTTTTACTTGAATATGTTTAAATTGAAAAAAATGTTGCAGTAAAATTTAATTGTGCCATTTTGGCAAAATATTCCAAATTCTACCTATATCAAAATATCCTGACATTCAACCTCGACTCTATTAATTATAAAATCTCCACATATATAGGCCCCAGTCGTGTACATGTATTACAGTGTTTTGGCCCCAGTCGTGTACATGCATTACAGTGTTTAGGCCCCAGTCATGTACATGTAATACAGTGTTTATAGGCCTGTAACAACATGTAATACATGTAGTGTTTAGGCCCCAGTCATGTATGTAATACGAAGTGTTTAGGCCCCAGTCGTGTACATGTAATACAAAGTGTTTAGGCCCCAGTCATGTATAAAATGGCTTCTGATTGAAGGATGGTAAAGGTGGGAAAGATGCTAAAGAAGAGGAGAAACATGATAAAACTAAAGGAGGGAAGAAAGAAAAGGAGGAGAAAGGAGGGCAGAAAAAAGGTAAACCAGAATGAGTTGAGATAACCACATTAATATTGAGATGATGTGTTTGATAGTTTTGAAGTTTCACAGTATGCTGTTGTGGTGTTGATTTATCTGATACTTCTGGCTGAAATTTCTTGAAAAAAAAAAAGAATGTTTAAAATAATGTCTTCAATATCATTTTTGTATAAATTTGCTTTTAATAGAATTTGTTTCAAATTTGAAAACATCAAGATCAGTATTTTAGTATAATACAAGGCCCATTATTTTCCAAACCATATTGTCTATCTACCTATAATTATAAATATACTATATTGTACTTAATGGTAAAACAGTCCAATTTCATTGCAAATTTAAACAAAATGAGTATATATCATCAAAAGTTAACTGTATTGTACAATATTAATACAGGACTCTGTTCTATTAAGTTTCTTCAAAACTGAGGTTATTAAAATGATGAAACTCAGAGTGTTGTGTAAATTATTGTTTAAAAATAGCTTCAGCTTGTGCTCTTTGGATTTTTTTCCGATTTTATTTTTGTAAGAGAATCTCAATCTCACCTTTGATAACTTAGGATAATACCAGGTGATAGCCCCAGCAGAAACTTCAGAATATTTCTAAATAAAAACCACCTCACTCAAAAGTCCCAATATGTTTTTGACTGGTATACAAAGTCGACTTGACATGGTTGCTTTACCCTATTTATCCAGCAATAAGCCCATGTCTGGTAATAAGCCCATGTCT